TTCCGACTTATGCAGACCCTTTTCACAAAATGTACTTGGGGCAATAAGCCAGCAAGGCTTGCTTACTTCACATCGATGTCCACTTTAGGCAAAGGGGATCTGGAATTACCTCACTTAAACAAGTACTATGTGGCGGTTTTACTCACTCGCATAAAAGAGTGGACAGACAGAGACAGGAAAAAATCTTGGTACAGTCTAGAGGGTTCCCCTCTACACACTACCCTGGCAGACATGTCAACTTAAGAACCTCTCCCCAACACACCACCCACTCATACACAACATCCTACAAATGTGACAGCGATGACACAAAAACAACTGGGGTCTGTCCCCAGGATTCTCTGTGTTCTTCTCACTAGCGGCCAACCCAGATTTCCAGAAAGGACAGGGGAGTACCATACATTCCTGAATAACTGAAACCCCAACCCAGACATAACAACAGTCCTGACGGCAGAGGACCCCCCAAATTAAAGGATTTCCCCAGACAGAACTGACAGGAGACATTACTAGACACTATGGGCAGGACACAACTAAACAACTTTCTGACCCAGTCAGTCCTCCCCTTCTGGTGCCCACGGGACAAAACACCCTTCGATCTTCTCTGTGGCCCAGGGAGCGAATCCAAATGGTCTTATCTAAAATATATCGTATTCTCCAGGCAGCAGTGGGGGACCAGAATCTCTATTCCAACAAAAATGGATGAGAGGCTTTCACATCCACATGTCTGACAGGACTGGACACACATTCTGGAATCTGGGATTAAAAAAGCAATTAGCGTTGCCCGCAAAGAGACATTCTACAAAAGGGTCACCAGATGGTATAGAACCCCAGCGCAACTACACACCTTTTGGCCCTTTGTCAGTGATAAATGCTGGAGATGTGACGGGGAACAGGGGGATATGGAGCATATTTGGTGGCATTGTAAGGACATAGCTTCGTATTGGCAACAAATATTAACTGATATAGTGGAGATCATGCCTCTGCAGACCCACTTAACTCCATCCCAGGTATTATTAGGTTGACCACGTTCTTTTAAAGAAACATATAAACAGCAACTACTGAACCTATTAATAGGAGAGGCCAATGCCCTCATCCCGATGTACTGGCGTTAAACCAACATACCATCCAGAGAGCAGTGGGTGCAGCGGGTGGAGAGAACAAGGGAAATGGAAGAGATACACTGGTCAGAACTGGGGAGAAGAGCTGGAACGGTCCCTGTGCGACGTATATTGTCATCTGTGGAAACACAGTGATCCCAAAGGAGATATTTCAGCTGCCGGATAACCTCAAACTTAACAGGATGCCCCATTTACCCCCCACACCCACCATCTACCTCCCCTCACACAAGTCCCAGCTCCCCTGAATTAATTCATTATAGGGCACACACATCACGATAGCCAATTGAACGTGCAGAGCTGAGGATGCCTAAATCTACTGCATAGGTGATGAGCGCAATGCTACCCATACACTCAAGGAAAGTCATGGATACAGGATGTAATGTATGTTGAGGTATCGTGTGCATAACCTAGAAAGCAGTTCTCACCTGGTACCAAACACCTGAAAAATGTAAAGTGATGCTACTATTGAATGTGCATTGTACGGTGGAACCCTACTATGTCACCCTTTGATTACCCCTTTTTCTTTCTATACCCCAAATACCTATCCACTACCTGAAAACAATAAAAAAAGTTATTAAATAAAAAAAAGTCAACTTTGAGCGAGAATTGACAATGGTGCTGAAGAAGAGGAGTGGAAAGTAAAAGCTCAAGGGCAATATTAAGTGATGGAAAAAACAGATGGGCTCTAAACAAAGAGCAAAATGAACTGTGTTCAAAGCAGTTTCTCGTTCTAACTTAGCAATTTTAATAATACTTTTGTCACCCTAAAGTCATCATAATAGAGAAATCCAACATAAACACTGAAAATGCAGGAATGAAAGAACTATGGCTGTTAAGCTTGTGTTAATTATGCAAATGTAGAATTAAATGTTGGGTTTCAAAAATAGAACAAGACTATAGGAAGAGTAATAAATGGATAGTGACAAACACCATCTCTGCCTCATAAACTTCTGGTGCATCACTTCACAATAAAAGTATCTTTCCCTTAGTTGAAAACATGTTCATGCTGATTTATTATGGTAATACGGTGCATAGAATGCTGGGAATGTCTTAATGAAAAATAAATATGAACTAAAATGTTGAATCTATCATAAATTATAAAAGGAACTTTGAAATCTCCCTTTTGGCAATCAATTGTCCTTACATGCTTGTTAGCTATTTCAAAAACAGTAGTATGTTACATAAAGGAGAATCTGAGAAGAAAAAAAACACTTGACATTGGATGAAAGGAAAAATAAGTCAGTTAAGGTGGAAGGGTTGTATTATAATTTAGGAAAATACATAAGGAATATTTTAAATCAGGGGTTCCCAAAAGGTATTGTAACGGACCGTTTTGCAAAAAAGGGGAAAAAACCGCTTAGACGATAATCCCTTTTTAGAGACAGACACAGCTACTGTAGAATCACCCAAAACTCACGAATTGAATACAAGTGAATGCACCAAACTCCCGAACTGCATACAAGGGAATGCTCCAAACACTCGAACTGCATACAATAAGTGAATGCTTCAAACTCCCGAACGGCATCCAATACAGCACTCCAAATACACGAACAGGAACCATACGAATTGCTGCTACCAGACGAACAGGAAAAGCTCCCAAGCGGCTTACACTCCTGGCAATCAGTCCTTAGCAGCATACAGTAAATCCCCCCAAAGACGAGACAAGGCTCCGTGTTGAGGGTCAAGCAGTGGTCTGTTTAATGAGGGCTACCTGCCCAGTATTTATGCAGGTCTCCCACCTGGTGGACACTCCCCTAGGGGACCAAATGGGAGACTGTGACAAAAGACAGACAAGTAGACAAATAGGACACACAGTCACAATATATTCCCACAATGCATCCTGGCTTCCTCCCCTCTGCCCTGGGAGATAATTGGGAAGTAATTAAATTATCTCCCAAGACAAAGGCAAAACTCCATTACACATGTGGGGATACAAAACCAGTATTATACTTTAAAATACATAAAGTAACATTTATTACATAAAACACAGACATGTAACATATCCCCAGATAGCTCAGGTCTGAGCGCACATTATTAAGCGAATGGCGCTCAGACCACACAAATACAGTTTAATCGCCATGGAGCCAAAGTCTTTACAGTCAGTTTCATACGAATGGGCTCCATGGGATTCCTATCTGGGGTATAACACATTCAACCAAAACTACCGAACACCGGGCCGTTCGTGCACTTCCACCGAACAAGAAGGGAGGTCGGCGGCTTCAGCGGTGTTCGCGCAAAACTGTGTCCGATTTTAGTTCCATGAAAATAGGGGCGAACACCGCTGTGCATTCGTATGTTTAAAATGGCCGCGACCTCGTGTTCGGGATACGAATGGCGGCCACCCAGCATTCGTCAATTAGGCTGCGGTTAGCCGCAGCTTCAGGGAGGTTAATTGCCGGCACACTCCAGCTCCCGGGTGGTCTATTCATTTGTGCGGTTGTTCTGTAGATTGAATCTACTGAACAACTGGCAGAAAAGCACGAATACAGCTTTTCTCCAGGCGAAATAAAGTCTTTTAAAAGGGGGCCATAGTCCAGAGGCAGCAGGCGAGCAACCAGGCTTCTCCAATGCAATGTGGCGAGATTGGTCTCGTCACAGGTATCATGGAAGCTGTAGTTTTAAAACATCTGGGTATCTACCATTTGGGAACCCCCGGTTTTACATTTTTGGGAACTACATTTGCTCGTGAGAGTTTATTCACTAAATAGGGATCTATGGTGAATCAAAATCACAGACTTAACCAAGCTTTGACATAGTCTTAAATTAGAGGGACAAAGGTTTAAAAATAATATCAGAAAGTATTACTTTACTGAGAGGGTAGTGGATGCATGGAATAGCCTTCCAACTGAAGTGGTAGAGGTTAACACAGTAAAGGAGTTTAAGCATGCATGGGATAGGCATAAGGCTATCCTAACTATAAGATAAGGCCAGGGACTAATGAAAGTATTTAGAAAATTGGGCAGACTAGATGGGCCGAATGGTTCTTATCTGCCGTCACATTCTATGTTTCTATGTATGTTTCTATATTTTTCCTTTTTCCTTTTCCTTTTTTCCCTCAATATTTACTTAGATATAGCTGCTAAAGCATGACATATTGTGAGAATATAAAGTAGTGTACTTTACCTTTTCTTTTTCCTTTCCTTATTTCACTCAAGGTTTACTTAAATATATCTGATGAAAATGCATTTAAATTCTAATGTTTTTGTAAATAAATATTCTTGATATTTCTCAAGTACATAACTACCTGTTACCTTTACGTTGTTTTTCACCACCTGAAGGCATAAGCATTTCATTTAATAATTTGACAGAATTAAATATGTACAGGCATATATACTCTGGTTGCATCATTTGGTATTTCTTATAGTGCATTGTATTTTCGTATCATGAGATAAGACAAGTTTGTTCAAAAACCAAGTCAATATTAGGTAGGGCAGTAAGGGGTCACAAGTGTATAACTAAATGTACTAATAGTAATAATAAACTAAGTATTAAAAATTAAAATGTCTTGAACAAATAAAATAAATCCACTCACATACATATAT